GTTGCACGTGTTGCGGTTTAAGCTGCGTATCCTTTCTTTTGTAGCACCAATGAATCCCGTCGGACCCAAAAAGATTTATTTTGGTCTCATCTGACCAAACCACGTGTTTCCAATCGGTTTCTGTCCACGCAATATGACTTTTCGCAAAGGCTACTCGGTCAGCGATATTTTTTTTTCTTAGCAATGGTTTCTTCGGCTTAATTAATGGGACAATACCCCGTGATTTAAGTAAACGTCGAATGCTCGTTGCACTTAATGAGACTCCTAAGTCATTTGAAAGTATTCGAGACACCTTGGAAGCCGATTCAACTCCGCTTTTGGTCACTAGCTGAACGATATAGTCTATGTTTGTGCTGGTGACTTTGGGGGGACGACCAATACGCGGCTTGCTCTTAAGACCCAGTGTAATCTAACTAATTCTGTTGATAGTACTTTTGCTGACTCCAGGTTTAGAAGCAGTCTCACGGGCACTGAAACCATTAGACAAGCATTGTACTACATTGTTTCTCTTGGATTCTGAAATCTGTCGCATGTTTATGTCGAAAAATAATTTTACAAAAATAATTTTAAAAAAAATACTGTTAGGGGTTACTGAACAGCTAAGCTATTTATATAGTTTTTTAGAAAAAAATTTTATTCGGTTTTATGGCGTAGGAAGCAAAAAACAAACAAAAAATAAATCGCACCAAAAGTGTCCCAATGATGTAATTATGTTTTAGTCGCTGTAAATCATTTCCAAATAGAGCTATCAATTTTTTGGTTTTTGGATGTTACAGCTGACATGTGAAAGTACTTATGATGTAATTTTGAGGCCAAAACAATCATTAGTTTGTGTGATGTCATTATGAAAAGCCAAAAATTTAAAACATTGGGACACTTTTGGCGCGCACTGTATCTATATTGGGTAATTGATTCCTTAATCATTCTTAATGTATTGATGTCATAGATATAGGTTTATTTAATGTAGCAACAATATAGCCGATCACCACAATCTTTATTATCTATCACTCCGAGCAAAGACAGATCCTGGTTTTTTTTCGGATAGAAGTCTGGGAAACGAGAAAATCTGTGCGACAATTTGAAGCAGTTGAAGGGCGTAATGCCAGCGAAATAGCAAAAATAGATTTTTACGGTTTCGTAATAAATCAAGGTTCTGTACTCAATCGTTTCCTGGGCTAAACGAACATGTCATAGGACAGTATCCACGATATCAAAAAGAACCAAATAATATAAAATTAATCGAAGGTTGTTTATCATTATTTCTAAATAATTTGTAAAATGCATGGATAATTTTCGCGTTGACGATGGTACCTTTCTATATTCTATTCTGTTACCTGCGTATAATTACTTTCGGTTAAAACCTATTTCAATTAGCGTAGTGTTCGACAACCGTAATAGTGGCAAGTCATATTGAGTAGAACTGTTATTTATTTCTGATTTGCTTATAAAGATCACTGAAAAAATTTTTATAAATTCTTCCCTTTCCGTTATTTAATCTAGCGTTTTTTTCATTAGTATGTTCATCTATAAAAATATCGTACAGTTTCTTTCTTCCGATGTCAGAGAACGAAACCGTTTGGTTCGAGATTATCATGATTCCAACTTTCAGGACGCAGTTATCGGATTTTCGTGAGGATTTCGCATAAGCATGCCAACATTTACACTCAACTGATCTTTTTTTGCTATGTTACTTAATCCAATAAAAAGAAAGGATTTCGATGTATATTATTAGGCCGTAATTCGGGGTTCAAAGAATATATTTGTAAAGGTAGCATAACGTAAGCGGTTATAACTAATAAATAACTGTTAAAAAAACTTGAACAGCCTATTAATTTTGTACAAAATAGAAGAAAAACGTTTCGAAAGCAGCGCTTTTAAAGACATTAAAACTATTCTGATATGGACAGTGGTTTTGTTATAAATTTTTATACTTTTATGTTGATACGAAAGTCGAAAAAGTCACATCTTCGTCTTTTTCACAAGTTTTTCAGCCTCCGCAGAAGCGAGCGAGGCGGAAAAACTCTTCCTCTTTTCGCAAACCCTCAAGCCAGGAACAGAGCAAAGAGGGAGAGAAAAGGAAGAAACCAATGAAACGCCAACGGAAAGAACAAACGGGGAACGGGAAACCTGAACTGCGACATGGCCAGAAAATTGTGGAGGTCGAGACGACGAAAGGCCGAACCGGAAGCGAAAACAGGCCGAGAAGAAAAGCATTGTCTTACCTTTGGATGTTTTTCTTGCTGCGAGGAGCAAAGAAAAACAGAAGGCCAATGTCGTTTTCTTGAGGTGAGAACCACGCGAGGAAAAATTACGCTGCTAGAAAAAAAAACTGTGATCAGTATTCACATTTTTAATTAATCAGTACAATTGTCACATTAGCCATTGCTGCTTTGTGGAAATGACAAGATCCTGGAGTACTTACGCGTAAAAAAATGGGTCTTGAATCATTTCTTAATATGAAACCACAATAAACAAATAAAAAGAAAAAAAAGTACCTGCAAATTTCTGGCAGTCACACAACAACTTGGATTAATTTTAGATTATAATCACAGAGTGAATGTTATGTTGTACTGGTATTGTGTATTTAGACACTAGGAATCATATTCACTAGAATCGTTGTTACAACATATGACATACTATAGCGATCAGACAAATTGAATTGTAATTATATTCGTTTTAATAGGAGTAAATACAACAAGTTTATGACAAAGATGCACGTTATACCTTTCGTTTGAAAGCACCTGATTACACTTTCATCACGAAGATTGACAAAAAAGACGAAGCAGAGCAGGGTATACATACCATCTGTCGTTGAGCTAACTTGGGATGGCGGTGTACGGTTCGAAAGAGCTCTGGATTATTTCGACTTTCTCTTCTACATTGTTCCTACTATTATACTTCAATTGTTCCAGAGCAATAAAACCAAATGTCCGTTGATGAAATTGGTGGCGAAATGTTCCATTGTTTTACAGTGGCGCGTTTCTTTTAGGGACGTTGCACTAATGACCAGTTAACATCACAATCAGAGACTTGATGTCCAAATTAGACAGTAACGCAAATAATTAGATGGTTTGTTAGTTGGTATACGGCTTTGAAAAATAAAATTATTGCAAGCCATATCAATGCGCGAGTTATCACAGCAAACAACCAATATTTGATGCATCTGCCGTATTTGGTTGAGCATATGGGTCCAAAACATACTGTTATTGCCACCCAATGGAGCGGACAGTTCGTACGTTCATCAACGTGATCAAGTCCACGAACCGTATAGGGGCAAATGATTCGAACGTCCATGGTCACCAGACTAATTACAACCAAATAGCGGTTAGGTGTCTTCAGATCATTCCATTCCCGGAATCCATCGATTGTCCAGACAGCTACCGTTCGGATTCCTCTGGGCTTAAATTCGGTCTCCGTCTGCGCCCCAGTGTTTCCTTGAATCAGATTCGCAAGTGAAATGCTTCGGTGTCCCGAGGTCGAAGATGATTGATGCATTGACGTCTTATTATGATCACGAAATTGGGGATGAAATGGAACAATTGACGTCGTCATGCATTGTAATTGCAAGTCGTGCTTGTGTCATGAACAGCCTAGGTTTCAGTTGCATTTAATCATACAAAATGTATCAGACGATTATTCAAACCAAACTAGCCCATTGTCTCTGTTCCACCTGTTCCATGTTCTCTATCTCCGATCACACATTTCACTGTCCAATATCACTATTGAATACTGTTGAACATATCTGTTCCAAATAATGTATCTCCGTTATCCCTTGTCCTTCTAGAACTCATTTAACATCCGTTTCCTTTGTACCTCTGCCTTTGAACTCCATTGAAAAACATTAATAATTACAGCCTATGTTATCCCCTGTATCTATCCCTGAAAGTATCTGTATCTATGCCCACTACCCCAAAGATGTCCCAAAATCAATATGACTAACAATCTATCTCTTTAAGTCTGATGCCCGAACCGTTGTTTTCCCGATCTGTCAATTAATACGAATAACAACATATTTATTTAATCTTATTTCCGTATTCAAGATCTTAACTATATTTCCTGCTTCTTTGATTAATCCTTTTTCTACCTTCGTTTCTTCTATCTATAAATTAACACTATTCGATATATAATTTTTCTTTTTCCTGTTCTCACCTCAATAATCTTTCTGTTCTGCCCTTACCCCGGCGCGCTACTAATAGCTTGGGACGATTAGTTTTTATTTGCTTTAGTTATAGACAAAACCTTGTAAGGTTGACGACAAGAGCAAATGGTATCGCCTTTTTACGGCTTCGAATAGTACTTGTCATAGGTAAGCAAAGGAAGTCTGACAAACGTTATTGATACTTACAGCATAAAATGTAGATTTTTTTCCCTTTAGTTTGTCGGTGTGGTTCAGTGTTACTTTACACAGCAGGAAAAAGGTAATGAAGCATCAGCAGTTCGACGCTCTTTATGTTTTGACAGTTGCTCCGAATTCCAGGGGTGACAGATTAAGAAAGTACGCTGTTATTTCTATTAAAGACATTCCGATTCCGCTAGTATTTACAAGGCTGTTCGTGCGCACTTTAAATATACTGGCATTGGTGATCATCGTTCTGATGGTTCCCTAGCTGATGTGTAAGTTAGTCGTATCTTATCATTGTCCGTTTTGCGTGGGCAAGTTTAATGGTAATTAAACTCTCTTCAACGATTCATCTAATGGATGGATTACTGTTTTATTCGATCTGATGTGTTAATTGGCAATCCGTTAATTAGCAATGCTTGTAGAAGTTAAAATAAATAAATAAAAAATTACATTACGATAATTGTGAATATTATCTATCATGTTACGGGTTTCCACCACCAAGTCCGCTGCTGAGATTGTGGCTTATATATTATATTTTATATAATACCGCAAAAATGTCGTCATCAGTTCTCACAGGGGAGGGGAGGTTTAGGTTGTATTAATCGCGAAGGACATTTTTTTTCTTTTCTTTCCCGTCTTCATAGGTATTCTTAAAAAAATGATGCAAACTATTGCTTTTTATCCGTAAGTATTCTGTACTCTAGTCATTTCGAGACATTACCAATGGCTAATGTTGTGTTTTTACAAATTAACTAAAAAAAACCATTTCAATCACTTTTTGTTCTTCTTTATTAGTGCCTTCTTTTCTTCTGCCCTTCTCGTCTCGTCGAGAAAAAGAAAACTTTTCTCCGTTGCTCTTTGCTCTTCGGAGCAAGAGAAAAGGAATAAGAGACAGAAACTGTTCTCTCCTGCTGCTGTTCGTCGTCGTGTCCGCCTTTGCGTGGCTCAGCCACGTATTTCACGCGCTCGGCGTTATCGCCCTTCGGGTGTACGTCGTCGTCTTCCTCTGTCTTCTGTGTGTGCTCCTGCCCATCCTTTGTCCTTTCTTGTTGCGGCTTCCCCTCGGGTGAAGGAAACAGAAAAGCGAAAACGCTTTTCTGTTTCCATCTCTTCATCCGAGGTGGAACGCCCAACCAAAAAAATAAAATTTTAATTTAGTTTCCTATTTAAACTGGCCCATTGAATGTTTGAGTGTTATTATCAAGTTTTTATTTTAAATGGACCGTTCTAAGCACTTATTATAAGGTTTTATAGTACATTCCGTCTATCTTCCGAGGCTGTTTTTTCGCATTCCAAACATCATTGAAAGGAAAGTCGTTTTTTAATAACTCATTAAACGTATAATAACTCGTTCATTAGTTTTCAATTGTTCTGATTAGTTTGATCCAATCTTTCAAATTACTTAAGATCAAATGCTCTTGGTTCTGTTCGTTACTTTCAGCATTTTTGAGAAATTTGGTTTGTTAAGTGATCGTTAATGAAGTTTAAAAACTCCCCGAATATGCCACCATTAGGAAATATGTGTCAACAATGTGAAAGTGGATTAGTAATAGTCTTTCTGAATTTGACTTTGGTACGTTTCAGCGACAGTAATAGGGAACAACATACTATTACTTCCATTTTACATGCGCTTATGCTTATTTCTCTCAGAGTTTCCCAATGGACTTTGGTCATTGTAATTCCTAATGGCCATCAAATGCATAGTTGCTTAAGATGTAATATCAGGAATAATTTTTTTCACGCTTTTGACTAATTCAGAGATAGATATATATTTTGGTTCTATACTCCACTTACATCATTTCCCAACAATTGTTGGTGCCCATTTTTAAAAAAAATTAGCCTAGTTGAGAAAAAAGGGTATTCGAAAATTTGAAAAAAAATGGATTATTTGTCAAAAATATCATTTGGTTCTGATATAAAGATGTAATGGTTTAAAAATTAGTAATATACTGGTTGAGATCGCTAATGCGTTAAGTGTACAAAATTTTAAACCCATTAAAAAGGTTACTTTAATTATAATCGCTGAAATTAACGAGAGTAAACCTTTTAAATCGTATTAGGTTATTCTGAAGGAATCGGTTGCTGGTACATTATTTTCTGTTGCTCAATTAAAGGCTGTCATCCCTTAAGCTTACCATGACAACCCGCCATATTTTTCAATTGGATGTAATTTTGGTATGTTGATTATCGAATAATGCATCAGTAACACCTGGTAACAATATTCGTCCTTATATCCTTATTTGTCTGAAAATGTTGAATATCCACAAAAATGGAATGAGTCTTAAATCCGTTATAATGTTCGTTTACAACCAAATACTTAAAAGAAAGCTAACGTAGTTGTCTGTAATAGTACTATCTGTTCCTTTTATAATCCTAAAATCTATTTTCATGGAGAAAAAAATTAAAGTAAACCTAAACTGATACAGTCGGAGCTTCTGTACCACTTTATTATGAAACAAAAATGAATAATAAAATGTAAAATGGTCTATGAGAAAAAACTATGGACATTTAGTTAAAAAACTGGGATTGTTCTATGGAGAATATTTAGCGCCTCTTTGGATCAAGATGTAATAATCGGGTAATAAAACATATTCCACATCTTCAAATTTAGCCCTTCCATACTGAGTATATAAAAATTAGTCAGAGGGATCAACAATTCGAACATTAAATGACAAGAGTCATATTTGAGCTCAAGATCTGTTAATATTCCATTGTTCAGGGCAATGCGATTGCAATACTTTTTGCAGGATAAATATTTACTGGTCACTGGGTTGCACCTTGTGTACAGATTTCAACGGTACGATGAGAACAACCGGATTAACGTGTGATTCCTGATTAACTTTTATATTATTATATATCCTTAATGTGAAGTGACAATTAAGTTTATTATTATATCTATGATATCCACAATAGAATAGATTATACCCTGATTAGGTTTTAGTTGCATTTGGGAAACTACCGCTTTTGGAGGGTTTACCTCGCATATTTATAACGGATTAAATACTAAGATTAACCTGTACAGCCGAAATTTTACTTTTTGTTTTCGGATCTCAAAGCGATGTTAGTACATGATTTGCAACAGCAAAAGAGCACTTCATATATTCATGCAAAATGCTCTCTTTTCCACTGATTTTAAATCCATCATATAATCCAAATCTTTCTTCTTCTATTTTTGACCCAAGAATACTTCTCTTTAAATACTGCGCTCTTTTCAAACTAAAGTTCAAATTCTATGATTATAAGGCTGATCACATGGAACAAAATATATTGAGATCTTAAATAGGAGATGTACTAATATGAACAAGCGCCGTTTTTTCTAATTTTTTTTTTTTTTTTGAAATTCAATCTTTTTCCAAAACCGGTTTTTTAAAAAAATATAAAAAATAAAAAGAAATATTATTCTGGAACTAGTGCAATTCGATTTTACTAAAATATCGGCATGATTTTTTTTTCTTTTGTTCCTGTTTTACCGTTTCTTTTGTCGTTTTCTCTGTTTCAATTTAACTTCTCAATGAATTCTCAAACTCGCAAAATATTTTTTCTCGTCTTCGAAATGTTATGACAAAACTAAGGTAAGGAAACAGCTATAAAAACTGTATTTTGTTTTTTGGCATTCTAGTTGTCCATTCTAGGACCGTTTATTTCTGGAGGCTTTACATTCGATGCCCACAGACTTTTTTATTTTTAAGCAGTAAATTAATAATAAAAAAATATCAGCAACATTATTTTTCACGGAATTTAATTTAGGAAAAAAAAACCTACAAAAAAAAAAACTTTTTAAAAAAAAAAATAAAAAATAAAAAGGAGCTTGTCTATATTAGTAAATATCCTATTTAAGAATTCAATATATTTTGCTCCATGTCAGCAGCCTAAGTCTGTTACATCCCAACTTAGAAGGATCAAGATGGATAAACTCAGTCTTTAAACCTTCGATCATGTGTGCGGCACGGATAAACATATGTTATAAATTAGATTCGTTAAATATTTTTTCTTGTTCGGCTATGGATATTGTTGATCTTTCAACAGATTTTTCGTTATGTTTGTACCTGATAATCCTGTTTGATATTTCTATTCATGGTTATGTTATATTTCCGCAATCCAGTTCTGACCAATCGATTGAGGAATACTTTATTTTTTTGTGAGACTAAGTGGTCTTCTTTAGTTTTCATAAACAAAAAAAAAAGCTTCGTTGACCGTATTTTTGTAGGATCCATACGGTCTCGTATTACGCCGCTTATCAGTATTTCAGTTTGAAGGTAAGGACATTACAAGTCAGTTTGTTACAAATTTAAGATTCTTTGTTGGATTTCTTTATTATAAGATAGGAGATCTCGGGGTCCAGCCCACTTCGGTAAATTTTTGACCTTCGCTTCGCTACGGTGAAAATGACCTACGTTCCTGCTGGGGGCTATCTCGCGTTTGCAGCGTGCCACCAACGCCACTCAATGTTTGTAAATGGGAAAGAAACAGATTTTATTGATAATGAATATTTTATGTTGAATTTCGTGTTCGAGTAAATACTTTAGTAAATACGACGTTGTCTGTGAGTATTGATAATGGCGTCTCTTTCAGTCAGATTACTTTGAGATTAGCAGGGTTACGAAACCGTGATGAAGCAACGTAAAGTTGAACGTGCGTGAAAACCGGTTTGTTCAGACAAATTGCTGCCAAAAAAAGTGTTGGCCCTCCGATTTGTTTATAGTCATTCCAAATGCAGGTAGCACGAGAAATTGACGTCGACTAAGGGTAATTCGCAAATTGGCTTTATCTGAAGAGATTAAAATAATCCGGGGAATCAAAACAGTGAGACCTCCTCAATCGCCAACAGCGATCTCACGTTTGATTACGTCTCTTGTGAAATGTCGACCAATACGTCTTGACCATTACAAAGAGTCTCGGTAAAGTTAATATTTCTGATACTCATAATTGGCTAGAATTTTTATAACATTAATTTTGTGGGGGTTAGCCCGAAGGTTTAATTGCATTGAGAGACTTGACAGGAAAATTTGCAGACCCAGAACTCCGGGTTTTCTCGATGGAATCGTCCGAAAGGTAAACCATAGATTTTCCGGGTGATGTATCCCAAGACTATCTCACCATAATAACAACTACTCTAATGTAATTACGGAACATATAAGAATTACCGATACAACAAATACGAATCACCGACTTAACAGAAATGAACATATAATATATATATAATAGTAAATTTAGCATTTAATAAAGGATTATTTTACATTTGATTGAAATTATTGTGTCTTAGACATCGGATATTACACTGGGTAAATTCTCTGTTGCCAAATCATGGATTTCATCAACTGTCGTGTCGTGATCTGCAAGGATGGCTTTGCCGAAAATGAAGTCTCGATTTCGGTACAAATAATCGTCACTTAATGCATCACCAAAAACGTTATCAACAACCTCCTTGATTGATTCCGCGTATGGTACAATTGTTGCAGGAATTGACACATATTGATTGTATATCTGCCGACTACGCTCACCCACTCCCAAAAAATAATCGTGAAATTGTGTACCGTCATCCAGAATAGCATCTGTGGTTAACCGCATATTTCTCAATAACCACAAGACCTGGCAAATTCTGAACAGGACCGAATCGATCATACACGCATTGATGATATCAGATCGGTACACAAACTGAACAATTGGTCGTGTTTTTTGAACTCATCTCCTAAAACAACAACTTTAGCTCCAAAGGAAAGGTGTAATTGCCAATCATTTCTTGTGAAAACGGAATAATGTATTCGAACATGCTTTGGTTCATCATAGGATGCTCATCTCAAATTATTATTTTGGCATCACTTATCGTTTTAGCACCAATATCTTGTACCTTGATGTTGCAAACAGATGATTCGTCAATATCAATTGGTATTTGGCAAAGTCAGTGGGCTGTGGGACCACCAGGTAGCAAAGTAGCAGCAATACCATATAAGACACAGGCCAAAGCAACTTCCCACCAGAGCGTACTTTTGAAAGCGAAACAGTGTAAAGAAATGTTTTTTCCAGTGCTTCCTGGATTAGCAACAAGAAAGAAAGAACTTTATGATGGAGCATCGCTATTTCTATAGATTGCTGAAACATTCTCGAATAAATGACACGTTACTTCGAATGTATACTGCCATGTTGTTGAGCTTCATATATGATAACATTGATTGCTAAATCATCCACATCATACTGGTCAACTTCGTGACCATTCAAATTTTGATCCCTTGCAACATACGCATTGTAGATAGATGGATCGGGTTGGGGTTATTGCGGAAAATTTGCTATATCCTTGTAGTTGTTTTTGCAATCGCTTTCCAATGTCAATGATTATCAGATTTGTGATATAGTCATTAACCTGATTACTTAAATTAATTTCACAGCCTTCAGAATCAACACCACGGTTTGGGAGGCATTGGCAATAAGTGTACTCATAATCAGCCCAAAGATTATCTCTGTGATTGTCCAAAATTTCTTAGTACTTAGGAACAAAGTTAAAAGTAAGAAGAACAGAATAACATTATCGAAATTTTGATGAACTGGAGCACAGCATAAAAGCTTTCGTCAAGGCTCTATACCACTATTTTCCATCATGTAACAAATGAAAGCTTGTGCAGCTTCTCAAAATGTTGCCCACTGGGTATTACCAGTTGATCGGACACCATCTTTATTAAAGGAATCAGAGGTTTTGATTTGAAAAAGTCATGGAGCGCCTTTTACATGTAAAATCAGTAAGCGCAGGCAGGACGTTTCAATGTCAGTAGCGGATATGAAGTACATTCTACCAATTGGAAGAAACTTCTGTTGATTACGTCGTCTTTTCCATAAATGTGTCATGGCGTTTTGGACATATTGAACTGGTATATTATTGTAAAGAATGGACCTGCCAAAAATATCATCACGATAAAGCTGAAACTAAGCAGTTAAGGTTGTCTGTTTTTCCATGGCTCGTTGTATTTCAACATTACTTCCGCCATAGAAAAAGGTGATCTTTAGCCGATTAGGCAAATGAATAGCCAGTCTTTTTATTGAAGGCTGTTACGAATTAGTACGTTTACCTATGTTACGCCAGCGTGTTTCTATTGTAGATATATACCGAACGCTCTACCAGCTCGTTCTTTCATCCTGTTTGTCATCTGGTGAAATGACAGCTGGAGTGTTGCTTGCAAGTTTAAAAGGAGTCGTTTGGGCAGTTAACACTGCAATTTGTGACCGATCAAATCCCTTGTAGATATACTTGAACAGATATTGAATGGCCTGATTTCAAGCACAAATTTTTAATATTGATGTGTGTGTTGTACATAACAGCAACATATAACTTGTGTGGAACAACCCAATGATTATCAATGCTGTACCCATTTAAAAGAAGAACAAAAACATTTGTGGGCGTCTTCTATATTTTGCAAACCCCTTTTGATCAATGACCCTTCCGTGATACATATCTTTGGGAACGTGCTTACTGCAAGATTTGTCATTCTTATCCCGACGACTTCTTAATTTACCCTGGGAATCAGTTAAGGAGATATTGCATGGCGTATGCATCATATCTTTTCGAATAGTTTGTAAGTCTTAGGAAAATGAATATGATATGTAATTTCTGCAGTAATATATTTATCAATATCACGAGGAGTATGAAGCTGAGAACACGCAGCAAAAATGATTACAACATGGGCGTACGTTAGACCACGTTTGTGATATTCAATAACACGGATTTAGCCCTTAATGATTCCGAATAACATTTTATCTTTTATATCGATGTATATGTTATTTAGGTTTATGTCGAAAACTCGGCAGATTAAATCGTGTTGACCCGAAGCGACCTCACCTGGTAACAGCTAATCAACAATTTCTTTCCAATTTGATTTGCAAGTAAATGTTACAAAAAAATCTCGCTTTCCTAGCGCTGGAACAATAGCTATGGAATCTTTCTGCATTGGATGTAGGGCTCTTGGATAGCCTGTATGGCTGGAAGGTAAAATATTTCTCTTGCGAATCGATTCTCTACTCATATCAACACCTACTACATCAGCCAATCCAGAATTCAACTCAGACCGTAAAATACTTTGATTCGTACATAACTAATACAATCGACGGCATTCAATTTTCGAATACATATTCACCATATATAGATGAAACAATCTACAAAAATGAAATATCTTTGTTTCTGGAGGTCGTACTTGCGATCGATACAGGTAGAATTGATTTAATGACTCCGATGTTTTGTCATTCGGTTACTGCTTAAACTATAATCATCCCTTCCTTGATTTCTTTGGATGACGTCATTGTCTAAATTCAATTCCAAATCAGTGCTCCATCAGTCAACACCTCCAGGGAACATCACTCCAAAATGTAAGGAATTGTATGAACTTTGACAGTCGTTCAGTATTTTTCGAAAATCCATTTACAGTTGAAAAGACGACAACTTCTCTACTACCTCTCGTATTTTCATATGGTACGGTTGCATCCGCAGTATATGCGACAACTTCGCCTGCATTAGGCACATCCTATAGCCGACCAAGTCCAGGATTTCCACGTACATGAACATACAAATGTTTGACACCATTTTGGCCAGGAACCTTGTTTGCCGAAAATCTTTGTCGAGCATTTTTTAAAAAAACGGACATGCGGTTGTACGACATGTCTTATTTGATTCGACTGAGCAACCAACTGACGATCCAAAACTTCATTGAAATTGATATGCGGCTGGACGTATACGTTAGGATCACTAAAGCAAACCTTAACAAAAAAATGCTTTCAATCATCGCTGACGGTTAATGGGTCGAATCGGCGATAAGTTTCTCCTTCGATTCTAAACGAGAACGATCCCTAATTTGATCTACTGAACATCTCATCTTTGTGATCCACTCCGAAAGAGGTAACTGCAAAGGCATTTTTCTACATTTTCGTATTTTTTTGAAGTCCGTACTGGTAGGATGCTCACCTGTCAAACGATTTTGCATGAGAATGGTTGGCGTAGCTTTGAATTCAATTTTGACTTTTCCATTACGGCAGTGAAATAAAAAGTTTTGATTTGTTACTTGTTATTTTTAAAACAGAAGCAGCATGGCATAGTAATAAGGTCATCTTTCCTTAATCCCTTGTTAATGATGACGTCCAAAAAATCAGTAGTTGAATCTTCACGGTACATACTTCTTCGTTCACGAAGAATATTCGTCTTTTCAAAGTTAACAAGGCACGCACGGTTCAAGTGGTGATCTCTGGCAAAATTTAGAATAAGTTTCAAAAAAACAAATTTGGGTACCATTTCAAATTACCTGTTCAAGAACGTGAATTACTTCCGGGATCGGTGATGTTGGTCGTGTCATTCAGGATCTCATTTTCAATATGGGAGTCTCTACTGCTGTCACTAGATCTCGGGGTTCTTGGATTGTTAATTCCACTTAATTTTTCTACCTTTGGGCTTAACCGATTCCGCTGCGTTAAATCTTGCTCTGCCCCTGCGTCCAGGACTGCCTCCATTGAAATGAATAAATTCGTGATCACCAATGTTGGACATTTGTTGTTGTTAGTGAAAAAAGGGGCCGAAGAAAGTTAAAGCTTTTTTATTTTGATTTTATAGTTGTGACACTCAATTTTTGGAAACAGGTAATTTATATTTTTTCGACTAAATGTTTTATAAACTGTGTTGGTCGGGACTTACAGCCCCTGCCAATTAACTCAATGCTAATAAACATTTTTTTCACTCCGTGTTCTGTGTATTACGTATATCGGGGCTTACAGCCCATCACAATTCTTTACGTATTTGTTATGCACATACATGTCTGTTGCTCGACCAGCGCTTTGCTTGGCCGTGCTTAATAAAAAATAATTAAATAAAACAGTCCTTATTACTAAATATGGTATTTACTGCAAAGTCAAAAGAATCATTAAAGTATTGCTAATGAACAAGTAATCATAAAAACAATTTTATGCTTTGCCACTATCTATAAGTCTACCTGGGAAGTTGTTCCCACTGTCATTCTTGTAAATTTATTTAATTAAGCTGCCACAGAAGGAAACAGGAACAAGAGACAAAAACTACTTGGCGACACGAAGAAGGCAATGGGCTCGTTTAAAAAAAACTTTTTAATTAAGAAGGGGTGGGGGTAAGGACTAAAATCCAAAATATCGCTTTTCGAATAAATAACTAGTATCGATTTATGGTATTTACTATACATGGGAAAAACTACATTGAGTTTTAAATGAAGGATCAAAAAGATGTTTCACGGAACAATTACCATGAGCAGGTTCTTGAAAAGGATCAGTAGTTGAGATTTGACGAGTAATAGCAGACTGGATTAAGTGGATATTAATTAATTTGATGGTTCATGCAATTTTTAAGGATGGGGACGGGTGTTAAAAATGGATTACGAATAACCGTAATAGAGAATCGGGAGAAGATTTACTACGGTTTAGTCCTACAGGAAGCGGGAGTAATACTGAGAAACAAATTTATGACATGTTTTACAAGTAGTTCCGTGGCGAGCAAGATATGCTTGTATGACTTTGGCACATGGTTTTACAGGGCGTTTGATAGCGGGCGCAATATACAAATAAAAATTTCACCGAAAAGGTTTGACAAGGGATTTAAGATTATAATTAAGTTATGTAGATAATAAGAATACTGACTAAGTAATGGCAAATTTTAAACATGCAGTAACAGAAACTCACAAGACAGTTGAACAAGCGGAGTGGAAATGTCATTAACGGACGTAGTACCTAATGAAATTGTTTCTAACTATAAAAAACAGTTGATACCAATTGTTTGTTGCTGTAGACAATGCATACCTCACTGCTATTAATTTTTTAAATCTACACTGCGTCACCTCGAGAATGATTTCTTAAATAAAATATGCAACGTTTTAAAATTCTAAAAATAAGACATTTGTACAGGAACCTCCTGATATTTAGAAAATAATACGAACTTCCCGGGCAAAATAGGCTGGTTTCGATACATACAATTTAACATAATGGATTACGGGTGATTGGGCAAATTCTTTATCCGGTAGTCACTGGGTAAAATCTTTACGTCATAAATTCGAGCGTATTTCTTTATTTTATAGGAAAGACCCTGTGATTTTGTTCTTTCTTTTTACCAAAGTTTATTCTAAAAAATGACTAAACCACTAGCTCTTTGCCGGTACGTATTTCATTATTTTGTCATTTCAATAAAACACACATGCCTAATGTCACCAATGTACTGATTACGGTAGTAATTAAATTCCAAAACTTCTTCCTTTTTTACAATTAGTCCGTTTATTCCTCCCTCCGTTCTCGTAACGAATAAAAGACTTCTCTCCTCGACCACTTTTTGGTCTGGAGAACCGGAGAAGAGTCCGAAAAGAAGAAAACTCTTTGTCGTTCCTCGCTTCCGTTTGTTTGTCTCGCCTTCGCGACGTATTCGGGTATGCCCTCGTCGTCCTTTTCGTGGTGTGATTCGTCCACCTGCTGTTTCTGCGTGTGGGTTTGCCGAGGCTCCGACACTTTTCCCGCTTCCTTCTTTTCTTCCGTTGAGGTTGGTGGAGAAAAGAAAGCGTTTTTTCGGTTTTCTTCCCTTCTTTTGAGCCGGAAAACCAAAGAAAAAGAAAAAAGTTGTGACTTTCTTGGCCCTTACAGGTCCTAATAAAACTTCTAGTTTTGTTCCAATTTCATCGTTTGTTCAAGTACAGTTAAAAAACCAGTAATTATTTCCTAAAGAATATTTTTTGTGAAGTTTGTTTTATATTTTCTTTTTATTTTAATGGGTTAAGTAAAATTCAAAATCCATGATTTGGTTTTCTCCAACGTCATGTACTGTAAAGTTTGTAATTCAAATTATATTCGTTGGAATTTCATAGTCTTATCGGATTTTTTCGATAGAAAACATTTCTGGTTGTTGGATAAAGTAACAATGACCTATAAATATGTATACATATAATCGATAAGAAATTTGGTCTAATTTCCGCACTTACGTGGGGTAATTGTTAATTGTAGTAATTCGTCTCCTACAGTATAGGCCCTGATATTCTTGATTGTGTCATAGGAACATATAATCCCAAAGATCCGTATAGAAAACAAGGAAAGCTGAGGTATAAAATAAGAAATTGAATCTTATACAAAAATACCGAAAGTTTGTGACATTAACTGGCGATTTAAATAGTCTAATCAGAAATGAATAACAGCTAAATTTAATCCATCCGGTAAATGAGGAGGTTTTAGATGGTCTCCCATATATAATTGGCTATTTTCAATTTGTTAAGGCGAGCATAAAAGAGAAAGACTTTGGAGATGTGACAGCTTTAAGATAAATAACTTCTAAAAACTGTAAGTTCTTGTTTATGAAAAGCGACAAAGTCACAATACATTTACTTTATTTTATTTGTTCCTCTTACAAAGCTGTAAGTTCTCCAAACGGTCAATATACAAAGGCAGCCAACGATAGACAATGCTAAACATAAAAATCACTTGGAAATTCAGGTGTATCAATCGCAACAGTACCCGATTTACGACTTTCAACTACTCTGAAGTGTTTTCCACACGTCTTGATTTACCATCTTCCATGCTTAATATATATCACGTACTCTGATGCTGTTCAAAAAATGATTTAGCTTATGCAATGCATAGAATGACTAGGACAGCTAACACTCTTCACCCTTTCATATATTTATCCGTTGCAATGAAGCCTATATTTTGGGAATTGTAATGCTACAAAACAATCCTGCGGACGCATTTTGGGCCTTACAAAGATTGATTTTAACATATTCAACATGTTTATTCAGTTTTGGATTCTTACCGGCGACTAACACAGAATCTTATCCTTTCATGCAAAATCACCAGAAAGTAGTATTGGAGCTTTGCCATTTTAAAATGCTGCCAGACAGTCAATTTTGGCTATTCTTTCCCATTTCTCTCCAAATGCTCCATTGCTTAGATCCGGATGATGTTAAACGAAATGCTGCTAACCAGATCCAAATTTGTTGCACAAGTAATCGTCGTAAATGTTTATAGTGTCAGCCGAATGTCCTTTGAGTCAGTTAACTGCCAGTATATATAAGGGCGGTGTGCGCGTTATTCTCAATTTTAAAAAGCTACTCGCGATTGATTTTTCTGATTGACCATCCTGAAGCCCATGATCACCCGATTCGACTGTGTGAGAATGAATGGTGAACGAATAACTGTGTGTCTGCAGAAAAGAGTTCTTTGGATGGAATATTCCTTTTTTACCGTATTTTTTCGACTTTATCAGTGAAGTATGGAAGCTGTTTGACAATATAGACCTGAGAAGTTTTTCGTACGAAGAAAAGTGGTGTAAATGGTGATAACGTCGTAGTCATTCCTAAGGTTGTGGAATCATGAAGCCGGGTCATGTGAAAGATTAGTCGTCAAATAAATTTGTGAATCTGATTTTGTTTCCGATTGTAGTGTTGGTAAAGTTCGAAAGCGATATACCATCATTTTATGTAGGCGGGGTAGATTGAATGGTAAAGACCCACGATTTTTTTGAAAACTTAAAAGAACCTGTTTTTTAAGCGCGGAGATCCAAAGAAACCAATTAATGTGAGCGCTTACCTGCAATGTACGCTAAGAATTAGAAGTCAAATATAATATTTTTTCGTCTTCATCATTTGTATTCTCCTCTGAAGCATTAGCAAAACTTCTATGAACTTTTTTTAATACTATAAGTGTTATTATGGGTTTGATCATGGCAGTTGAAATAAAAAATGTGCGATCAACAATTTGATGGTAACCACATATATCTCTATCAGACAAACAGTTTAAATGTTGTTTGATATGATTCCAGTTTTATTTCGAAAAAATGTCGTTTAAAGATATCAAAATAGAACAGACTCCTTTAAATTCGCAACAGCATAATCTGGTATATCATCTACGTTAGAGAAGACGTTTTTAACGTGAAGTATTTCGATTCAATTTTTCAACCATTGGCAACAAGCCAGGTTTGAGTGAAAATTTTAATTTGGCCATACCTTTGCTTTTGCCTTTCTTTCTTGCCATCTTATCCGTCAGGACTAGTATAGACGCAATGTTCCACAGGTTTACTAGCAATCAAAATTGTATCAAAAATTTGTCTAAAGATGATTACGTAATGAGCGTTCAGTGTCACATTCCACAGTAATAGAATATATGGAGAAACGGGATCAAACAGTAACTTCTCTGCTGCCTCCGAGATAATACGTCTATTTGAATCCTTAAAACAAACCGTTGTAGTCATTTCATATATTGGAATTAAATTCAACTTGAAGACCCAAAGAACAAACTTTCTGGCCCTATATATGTAGTACAAACAACATGATTCCCAAGGAAAGTAAAGAGATGACTTTCCTCTAGACCGTCAGTTGTTTGATAAAAGGGTTTTTATTGAATTGTACACGCAAATCGTATAATCGAAAAAAAGTCGAATAGTTAAAATCCGTGTCACAGCGGCATCATTCACGAAGCTACGGCATAAAACAACACGAAAGCTACTTACACTATTTTTGTTCCGATTCCTAACAAGTCTCAAAAGTCCACAACTAGTTGAAACTCAGGGCGGTAATAAATTGACTTCTTGGAAAAAATGGCCGTAAATAACTGCAGTTACTTAAAGATCAAGTCCCGAGATTGTTACCTGATGACTTGATTTCATTATTTGCATATTACGCTATCCTAATGACATCTCTTGTAACTTTCTTTGAATTACAAAGTTGGCGGGCATAGTAATGTTGACATGCGTCAAGCATTTGGCAATGCCGAGAAGAGAAAAATAAGGAAATATGTGTTTTATTATATGTGACAAAAATAGAAAGGAGTATCCTAACATTCGACTTGGCTCACCAATGTTTTGAGTTTCTAATCTATTGCTGATATTGTTTGACAACCAGTGTAATGAATATCATTTTAGCGATCTCTTTCTTTCATCAATGTGTACTGCTGATGTGGTAGTGATATTGTTATTCCTTCCATACTGTTCAATTTTTGTTATTATCAATCGACGGCTGTTAAAAACTTTCTTTCTGTTTCTTCTTTTCTCCAATCCGTACCCCATCCTCTCTCGAAATCTTTAACCGCATAAGCGCCATATAGACCCTCTGTTCATTCATGCCACAAATCAATGACGGAAGCAATTCCTCGACTCATACCATAATAGGGCCCAACATACTGTTGATATTGCCGTGAAAAGTATGTGAATGATCCATCGCATTACTGCCGGCAAATGAATGGGGTTCGCGTTTTTTAGCTAAGACTGTTTTATTTATATTTGTTAAACCCTGATCATCCCCTGATCCTCCGGCCAAACTTATGCTTAGGCGAATACTCGCTTCGCCTGTTCCAAGTCTTGTGATATCATCCATAATAATTTTTTGAGATGCTATTTGTGAATCTAATCGTGTCGAAAGATCATTGTGCATTAATTTCATTTTGTCTTCTAAAATTTTCATGCACCGTTGGAACAAAGAATTCACAGGATCGTTGTCTTCATGAGCGACGATGAGCTTGCGCCTGTAGACAAACGTTCTTTAAAAGTACATGATATCATATTATTTCTTACATAAATCTGATCTTACTCCCTATATTATGTAAACATTTCATTCGAAAACAGACTAACCTGTCAAAGTGGGTGAGTTGAACACTTCTAAATCTTAAAATCCGCATCTTGTATGATTGTTCTTCTTAACATCAACGTAGGGACAAAAAATACTTTTACTGCAACTGTTACTTCCGTTACGTCGCCGTTGTTACAGTTTGGTTGCTTTATTGTCAATCTATCGTGCCATGCGTTAAGATCTGGAATGTTCCTTTAGTAAAGTGATTCAGGTGGACAAACATTAGCTGCTGGTAAATAAAATTGTCTTGATTTTAAAATGGTTTGTTTTTAGAAAAAGAAAGATACGTTTTTAACAATACTGGTTTAATAGAAAATTATTTTATCGCCCGCATTAATCATCTTATTAATCCAGTCCAATAACTTCCGTTGATAGTTGTGTTGTTCCATCTACCTCAGCGCCTGATTTGGTCTCATTTAAGCCAGCTAAATCGGCTATTCTTGTTAAAGATCCACGAATAAACTGTTGCTTGTTCGACACAGTATTAGGTCCTTCATATATGAAACGGAAAACATATTCGGTAATAGTTTTTGGACTGCTCGACTAGCTGTCGACCCTTCTAGTTTGTCATAAATTGGTTTTAGTAATCAGATAAAGATCCTGCGATTGATTGAATAAATTATAATGCACTAGAAGTGTGGAATAATCGTCCAATACCACATTAAAAATAGCAATATGCGAGGTTTTGTTCCTAGGAGATTTGAAAATCTAATTTTACCATTTTCCTGTTTGCGGTTAAGTAGTCCATCCGATTTGCGAAGGAAAAATCTTGAAGTAATAATTGAATATAAAATAAATCATTATTTGTATCATGACAAACTATCTATCTTATAATGACGGATTACTGAGTCTCAGTTCATTACTTGCACTATTTTTAACATCATTGTTTACCTTTTTATTTTGAACTATTACACAAACAATTGGGTTTCATTCAGCAGCCCAAATTGTTTTCGAGTAGACAGATAACGAATATTTTGTATTATTTGGTCTAACCCCAAATTAAACTCGGCTAGTTATATTTCCTTGCGTAATACATTGAAGGCTTTCTAAAATGTTTGCGTCTCCCACATGTTACTTGCAGCGATGAACGGCTATTCGTCGATTTAGTAATGTTCTACAATGTAAATGACATTTTCCGTCGGAAAAAAGTATTTCTCCATCGTATGGTTATGAAGTTGTTTTAACCCCGTGTGAACTAGCGTTTTAATTATGAATCTTGTTTGGACATAAAAACCGAAATCACTGGTTCTTAATGACACATGAAGCTATTTGTTTACCAATATTTTCCCAAATAAGATTCTCTTTCGGTTGCTCATTGCTATTTTTATATGTTAAAAAGAATGGTAAAAACCGAAAATAACTTGATAAATCAATTGTTACATATTAAAAATACTCTCACATGGAATATATTACGTCATCAGGTCACACGGCTTTCTTTTATTTAAAAGTCGTTAAAATCCGGAAGGTCATTTTCCTTCCTTTCTTTCCTGTCCCAACCGGGTTTTTTCAAAAAAAAAAGATGTTTCAAGCTGTTGCTTTCTTCTCGTAAGTATTCGATATTTTTATCCTTTCGACAAATTACCAATGGCTAATGTCGCCATTGGACTAATTTCTAAAGAAATTTAATTTTAATCCTCGTTTGTCCTTTTTTTATTAGCCTTTTTCCTCGTTCTGCTTCTCTCCCCGTGAGAAAACGAAAGCTCTTTTTGGTTTCTCTCTGCTCTTCGGAGCTAGAGAGAACCATCAAGAAACAAAAACTGTTTTCTCCGGCTGCTGTTGGTCGTCGTGTCCGCCTCTCTGTGGCACGGCCACGTCGTTCTCGAGCTCGCCGTCGTCGCCCTGCGAGTGTCAGTCCTCGTCCTCCTTTGGCTCCTGCGTGCGGCCCTCTTTCTCCCTTGTCCTTTCCTGTTGCGGCCTCCCCTCCGATGAAGGAGACAGAAAAGCGAAAACGCTTTTCTGTCTCCATCTCGTCATCGGAGGTGGAACGCCCAACTAAAAAAATAAAATTTTAGTTTATTTGTTTATTTAAATTTGCCCAACCAATGTTTGAGTTTTATGATAAGAACTTTATTCCAGTTAAACCGGAGATAAGAATTATCACAGAGTTTAATAGTATTTTCAATACATTATCGGGGTCCTTTTCTTCGAATTATATACAAGAATATCTTTAATCCGCTAGTCATTTGTTTTTAATTGTATTGGGTTTTCTTCTTTTGTTTTGAATTGATTGGATTAGTTGCACCTCATGTTTCCAATGGATTACACGGAATAGATATCAGTTGATTTTTGCTCTACCCAACCATCTTTGCGAACGAAGTTTTTCTAGTTGCTTGATAATGAGTTTAAAATAAACATCAATAATGTTGCAATGATCATCTCACATTTTGTGCCCCTATTATTTTTTATTCGGAATTCAATTTTAGAAACAAGCTGTTACCTACATCAGTCAGCTTTTTATTCCTTTGGCATGATTCACATAAGTTATAAACAACCTTTGCCATTGCCTATTCTATTATTTCATTTCTTGTTTTCTTTCTGTATAGATATAGATGATAAACTTCAATCCTTTGCGAGATATCTTTCATAAACATTTTTTGTTCTATTACCATCTTTTTCTGAAGAAATAACTGCTTTTAATAAACAATTCATTCTGGGTTCAGTCTTGCCTGTGTTGTTACTACTTCTTTCTGAGGGATGAGGGCATTAGCTAATCTTCCAGAATATTTTTCAAGAACGTAGAATATTGTTTCTAAATCGCTTTTCGCTCGTTTTTTTTTAATTGCTGACATAATTTCGTTCTTTCTATTTACCATCAGTTTCTGTTACGTTGATTTTGTTTACGAATCCCTGTTGTGACGGTGTAAACATATTGAAAAAAATATTAGAGTTGCTTAAATTTCATCTACAAAAATATTGTCTTTTCCCAATTAAATTCTTCAACCGATAACGATATCCGGGCATAGTGTACTACATTAATAATTGTGGTTACTAGGTGTCTCTTTTTTCAGTATGTGTAATTGTAACGATTTGGTGGAAGAGGACAGTTTTTGTAGGCTCTAAATGCATCTACAGTGACGACGACGAACATGAAAGTCTTGTGGTTTTTGCCATATTTACCGTAGTCGAATTACGCTACACAATCATAATCCAGAATAATTGACATTATTGTGATTAATAATAACCTCATGGAAAAGCAAAAATTAAATATTCAACTAGACGGATCCTCCTTGTCTTTTTATTACTTATAAAAAACAATATGGTTATAAAAAGTTTCGTTTTATTCTCTTGACCCATATTTATCACAAGTCGCATAAAATCATGGCTGTAAATTTTTTTAAAAGCTGTAGAACTGATAATAGCCGAAATCATTCTGAAAGTGGTATTTCGACTTTTAAAAACAACATGTTCTGTGTTTTTCAAACATTCATGCTTTATTGATGGTATCTTACGGCATGGAAAATAAATATTCAGTTAAAGTATTTATTAAGACTTTTTTGCTGAATGTACTAAATATTTAGAAGTTTTAAACAGTTTATATTCCAGTAGGACGTAATGGTTTAGGTGGGCTAAATCTATAAAAGAAATCGAATTACGTAAGCAGAGAGTACTTACAACAAAGGGGACCAATAATAATTTTGTATCCGGATACGGTACAATTACAAAACAACCGACTGGTAGATAATGACTTAAATTCAGAATATAACAAATATTAATGAAAATATAATCCGCTTTCACAAAAATTGATGGTCAGGCCATTTTATCGATGACCCGAATTTGTTACCATTAGAATCTTGGCTGTAAGTGCATAATCTGATTCATCCTAGATCATGTAAAATATTATAATACCCTAAATGTAGAGTAGAATCTCATAGAGGAAATATTGTAATTTTGAAAATAAGACGCACTTTAATTTCTATATGTTATTTCTGCAATTATTTCGATATACGCAAACATAGATCGTCAAAGATCTGGGCATTGATTCATAAGATCCAAATTACTTCATAACATACTTGTTCAAAGATACATTATGTCCAATACTAAATTGTATTCGTTTACCACTTAATATATATCATCCGATAGTCCTCGTATTCCATAGTAATTGAAACCCTGATCCTTTTCTGACAATTTTCACTTTCGCTATTTAACAAATTAAAACATATACAGTGAGTGGACAAAACTGTTCGAGTGTTTAGAAAGTTTCAGTCCCATCTTTTTCAACAATGTGTAAACTCCTCGAAATAATTTCAAATTTTGACAGATATTAGTGCACGCCTTGCTACACCAGCAACAACGTTTTCAGATTTTTTAGTCCCAAGAACAGGGGTTATTCTGAGTTTAAAACTGCTTATCACTCGAACAATTATGTCCAATGCTGAAATTATTTAGAAAATCATAAAAATCTTTCGTAAAAACAGTCATACAGTGACTTCCAAAACTGGAAACATGATTTCTTTTTTTTGGTATAATTAACACTACTCCATGGAAAATTAATCGAATCATATGATTTTTTTTCGAAAATATATGGCCCAACCTCGACTATGTTACACTAATTTTTGTGACTTTTAAAATGTATTAAAGTTAAAGATATAAGGGGTTTAAGACGAGTAATCAATGTTTCCAGTTTTGGCGCCGGTTTGGATTATATCATTTATTGCTTGCACTTAACCTAATATTTGGTCTAATAACCCTTTGCTTTGATGACTGCTTCGCAGCGACTAGGCATACTGTCTATAACAGCCAAACAATCATTTACAGTAATTTTGTTGTACCAAACATCTGTGACCCGTTCGAACAATTCATTGATTCCTTTTGGTGCCGTAGGATAATCATTCAGCTTTCGTTTCAACAAGGCCCACATATGTTCAATAGGATTCAAATCCGGTGATTGCGATGGCCAGTTCATGACGTCATAGTCTTGTTGTTTCAAGTAATTTTGTACCTGTTTTGATGAGTGTTTCGGGTCATTATCTTGCTGAAAAATCACCTGGTTTCGATTCAAAGATAGATTTTCAGCTGTCATATCTACGCTTTTGTCCAATTCGTCACGTAAAATATCCATATAAAGCTCTTTGTCCATTGTACCATCAATTTTACACATCCAGCCAACACCACTGGCACTTATGCAGCTCCAAATCATGATGGATCCACCTCCATGCTTGATAGTTTGCTTTACGTGTCTAGGCTGAATCTCCTCAGTGTCTCGAATCCAAGCCCATGTGCGACCATCGGAGTTGAATCGGTTGATTTTAGTCTCATCGGACCATACCACACGTCTCCAGTCATCAATGGTCCAGTTTCTGTGAGCCTTAGCCCACTTAAGGCGGTTTGCGAGGTTTGCTTTTCGTAACAGAGGCTTTTTTGGCTTTTCAATTGCACCTAATCCAAACAATTTTAAGGTCCTACGAACGGTTTGAGGTAACACACGCTTTTGAAAGTTGTTCTCCAAGACCCTTGCGACTTTTACAGCGTTTTCCTGACCACCCCTGTTAATTTGCTGTACGCAGTATCGTTTTTCCGTCTGACTTAATAGTGAAGGGCGTCCACCTTTATCTTTTTCTCGATCAGTAACGTGTTCGCGAGCAATTCGATTGATGAGAGTGTGACTAATTTGAGTCTCCAAAGCTACCTGACGGTTGCTTTTGCCTGTTTGAAGAAGTGAAATAATATTTTGTAATCGGTCATTCGTAATTTTGCGCATCTGTAACAAAATTTTTGTAGGTGCTTGTAGCCATGCCCAAATTGAGTTTAAAACTTACCTTAAAATGTAGTTAGCTTTAAAACAGCTGAAAATTAATTTTAGCTCGTTTTTATTTGATACATGACCGAGTTGTGGGTCATTTTGAAATATTTTCATTGCCTTCCAAAACTGGAAACATGTACAGGTCAAGTTCAATTCAATACTGTGATCGCCAAAATGTACGTCTACTTTCCAAAATTATGTGAAAGGTAGTCCATGGGATGTTTATGACCTCCAAAAATTATAAAAGCTTTAGCATTTGTTTTCAAAGCATAGTAGTTGCTACATTACCAAATTTGTAAACATGTTTCCAGTTTTGGAAGTCACTGTATAAGCCGGAAAAAATTTTTCAGACAGGTTTTGGTGGGTAGTCCACATGTTATTTTTTTCTCTTTATTTTCTTTATATAAGACTTTACTCATTAAGATGACAAAAAGCGTTTCTTTGACATTAAAAAACGAGATCATTAAATTACCAAACGACGGGCTTTCTTTTCGAGAAATAGCAAAAAAAGTGTCTATTAGTTTGTCAACCATTGCAAAGATAAAAAAACAAGCTAATCTTGACATTCACAAAAAAATTGGTGGAGCACCTCGCAAGATTTCAACAGCAACAGGCGGCTCATTGATTAGAGGCTTCAAAACAAATGTGAACAAGACTGTCAAGAATGCTGTCGAGGCTCTAAAAAAGGAAGCAGTTTTTGTCTGCGGTAGGACTGTTCGCCGCATGTTGAATTCAGCCGGAATGAAAGCTGAGCATCAGCCTAAAGTACTGCCGTTAACACCAAGTCGTAAAAAGGCGAGACTTTCTTGGGCCAAGGTCCACCAAAACTGGACTATTGATGATTGTAAGAATGTTGTTTTTTGTGACTAAACGAAAATAAACCGGATTAGCTCTGACGGGGCTCAGTGGTTTTGGAATGCCACAGACGAAGAGATCCGAGATAGTCATCTCCAACATTTGTACAAGCATGGCGGTGGAAACATACTGTTGTGGGGTTATTTTCTCTGGGAAGGTCCTGGATACATTGTTCGTATCGATAGTACTATGGACAGCAAGTTATACTGTGATATTTTGAGCGACGATCTAACGGCCAGTGTTAGTTACTACAATCGAAGTATCAAGGATGTCGTATTTCAGCAGGATAATGGCCCAAAACATACCTCCAAAATGGCAACAAACTGGTTTCAAAACAATGACGTACGCGTGTTAGATTGGCCCTCATATTCCCCAGATCTAAATCCAATCGAGAATCTCTGGGCGATAATAAAAAACCGACTTTGCGCCTACGAAACGGCCCCAAAAAGCTTAAACGAGCTATTCGACCGGATAACCCACGAATGGGACAAAATTACCCCAAAGTTGTGTCAAGACCTTATAATATCTATGCCAAAAAGGATTTAAGCGGTTATCAAGACCAAAGGAGGAAGAACCAAATATTAGTCATAAAATTTTCCATTTGACAAAACTGTTCGAGTGTCCATAAAATTTTATGTAATTTTTGTTACACCAAAAATGGGACTGAATTTAAATACAGTGCGTCCGCCCTCAATTGGACACTTTTTTGAAAATATTGGTCACGTTTTTGAACTTTTTTGGTCAAAAATGTGAAATTCAATTGCACACTTTTTTGAACTTCAATTGGTCACTTTTTCGAATTTCATTTGGTCACTTTTTCGAAAATGAGTTGGTCAAATTATTTGGTCATTTTTCACATATACTTTAAATATTTTAGTTTAACATGCAATTTTTTATGAAGATGGTACTGGAAATATTAGAGATGATAGAGGTCAGGAAGCACCTTCTTTTGTTGAAGAAACATCTTTTCGTTTAAAGAAATTGACTGATCTTCGAAAATGCATCAAAAGCAAAGACATTCAATTTGAAATGCCAATTTCAAATGACATTACGATGGAGGAGGCTTCTCCTAAAAAAGAACGGACTCTTCAATACAATGTTTATACTATTGAAGATCGTAAGCGAAATTTTTATTTTTTGAAAGAGAAACTTATGAAACCTAAACAGGCAGCTAAGGCCGCAAACGTAAATTATGACACGGCACGCAAGTGGAAAAAGGCTTATGAGGACGACCCTGAAAGAAATATACCTACTAAGAAAACGAACCTTGGCT